AAGGAAAAATATAGATGTGTGCCTACTAACAGCTAACAATTCTTCTCTAGCTCAGGGAGATAAAGAAGGGTTTGGACGACTGGCCAAATCCCTTTCTCAACCCTTTCAGATCATCTGAAACCAAAGGGTTTTCAGATTTTTCTCAGAAACTAAGAAAGTCCTTCACTTAGAGAATGCACACATAAGAAAGTCTCTAACTCTTTCAATCAAATCAAGTTCCCAGTTGGAATAAAACTCCCTCATCATGTCTCAGGCTATGGTATAGGGCAGTCATTTTCAACCAGTGTGCCGTAAGAATGTTTAAAACATGCAATACCTGACTATTTAGTCAGGGTAGGCTGTTAAGTAAAAAACAAATGTCAACAGCCAACACAACAATAGCTGTCCAGTGTGAATGAATCAAAATTATGCCCCTTTTTTTTATCAGATCAACAAAAAATATATTTTGTGTGCCACAGAATTTTATAAGGGTTGAAAATTGCTAGTATAAGACACTGCAGTCCATTTACTAATAAGGCATAAGTGAAAGCTACAAAATTCCAACAGAAAGTTCATTTTTATTAGTGTACAAAATAGGGTTGTTATATTTAGCAACAAATACAGGAGCCCTGTTAAATCTGGATTTCAGATAAACAACAAATTATCCTTTAGTATCAGCATGACCCATGCAATATTTGTGGCAGATGCTAAAAAAAAAAATGATCTATTGTTTATCTGAAATTTAAATTTAACTGGATTTCTGTATTTTTCTTGTTACTCAGGTCAAAAGCCTTGGCCAACAGTCTAAGGCCTATCTGGAAACAGTCACCACGTCTAGCCGAAGGAGCTTCAAGCAGCTAAGAAATAACCAGTAAGGAATTTGGATTGACGTGTGATAAATAACGTTTATTTAATAGTGAACTAAAATAGCTCATTTTAAGGATCCTCTCTGAGAATGCTTACATGTCATTAAAAAAATAAAGTCTTCCTTTAGTAACAAGTGAATCACTTCAAATATGTGTCTCTTTTTGACACTCGGGGGTATCACAGAGCCTCCTGTCCCTGTTTCCTAAATCTAGACTTAGGAATTTGCCTCATGTGAAAGGAAAGCCACAGGTTGGTCAGGTATAAAGGAAGGCTTTACCTCCCCTTATAGTGCTTCTGGGGAGGACAGGCCTATTGATGCTTCTGGGTGTTCAGAAGGTCAGAGGACAACAGTCAACCCTTTCCCAAGTCTGTCTTCCTAGGGCCCGGTCACTCCCAGATACCTCCTGAGGGGCTTCCTCCCACTGCTGTCACAGAGGGGTGAGCAGCAGGCCAACAGAGGCCCATCCTCACAAAACAACCAACCATTTGCAACAATATTATTTTGCAAACATTTCCTGCTGTGCCTAAATGGTGTGGCTGCTTGGTTTGTTATTTAAAAGAGTAACCCTAGTGAGACCAGAACTCTGAAGGGAGGAAGAGTCTGATTTCAGACCAGGATAAGTAGAAGGAATAAGTAGATGATTTTGAGTGCTGTGCATGGTGATAACAGCTCAGACTTTAAGAATAGCACCTTCTTGTCCCTGTTAGTCAGCATCAATCCTTTCTGGATCCTGATAGAAAAAACAGATTAATATATTTCCAAGAGAGGCTAGGGATTGGATTCAAGAACCATGAGAAGCTGCATTTGGGAGGAAGGGAAGGAAAAGACAGTGGAAATGAGTGAGGGATGCAGGGATAAGGACAGGGAGAGAGCACAGAGAAGATGTCCCACATTGTTAGATACAGACCTCTAGAGAAATCATGGAACTGGGGCAGGAGAGAGAGTTCACAGAGGAAATGCCTCAGTGGAGAAGGATGTTGAAAAGTCGGAAGACACGTTTTACACAGTATACTTGGGAAATTAAGTGAAGGTGGACCTTTTCTCTCTCCTCCACACTGGGACTCAAGGAATTTATGAATAGCCTGCACATTGTAGACTGCTGTACTTGAGAAGATGGAGGTGGGCATGTGTGGCTATCTTGACAATAACCTCTAAGGAAGAAGCATAGATAACCCAGGAGAGCTACCTTCCCAGTGGCCAGAAGAGATGGTAACAAAGGTTCAAACCAACTATGGTTTTAGTATAGTGGTTAGAGGCCAGGTTTGAGAAATCACATTTACATTCTAATGTAAAGAAGCCAAATGGGAAGTAATATGTACAGATCCCTGTTTATACAGAGGAGCTTTTAAGATAAAAGCAGACATTCCTGGACCATATTTATGGACTTTAAGGTAACGCCCACTTGATTGCTTTGTGTTGTTTAGCAAATGTTTTATTCCTTCATTGTTAGCATTTTTTTTTAAAGAACAAACATTTGGTAAAATAATCTAAATCAGATTTAAATTTAACACTAAAAACAATGGGACAAAACATGAATGTACAGAAAAGAATACACAGGGAGTTTTTAAAGGAAATCTCTATTATCTTGCAGAGAGGAGCAGAATGAGAAAGCTCCTGTAGGGTGGGTATGCACTGGACAGCTCAGCATCTTGGAGGATGTCACTCATTCACTCCAAGTGTCTTCCTTGGGCTCACACTATGCTAGGAGTGGGTGACATAGACATGAGTAAGACAGAAAGGTCACCGCTTTCCCAGAATTGCGGGGAGGAGAGATAATAAAGCATGTAATTATAACATTCTGAAGAGTGGCTTTATTGGAAAAGCACAAGATGCAGTGAAGGCATGTTACAGGCTGATGTTAGTCCAGGGCTCAGGAAAGCCTTCCCAGTGGAAGCGATGCCAAAACTAAAACCTGAAGCACGGAGAATCTGAGACAGGTAAAGGAGCATCTGCATTTGTGTATTGGTGGGAAGGGATTACACAGAGCACACTGATTGGAAGTGAGGAAGAAGAGGGTATTCTCAAAGAACTAAAGTAAGGCCAGTACTGTGGGAATGCAGTGCTTAAGGCACAGAGTAGCATGGGACCATTATGGAAAGACAGGAGGGACCATGCTGTGGATGGCTCTGTAAACCATATTACGGAGGTGGGAATTTATCGCAGGGGCAATAAAGACCTACTGAAAGGTAGTGAGCAGGAGAGGGATGACATCACATATTCATTTCAGACCACTCCGGCTGCAATGCAGATTGAAAAGAGGCAGAATGAGGAGCCAGAAGATATTTAAGAGGCCCTGCAGCAATGCAGGTAAGAAGAGATGGGCTGGGGTATAGTATAAATATGAAAATAAGGGAAAGCACTCCAGAGGAAATCCACAGAAAATGGCATGATTGGCTATTAGGTGTCAGGGATATAGAATCAAGGACACTGAAAATATTTATTTTAGGCAACTGGGCAATAGGATGCCCCCTTTATAGGTGGTGCAGATTTGGCTCTAAGAAGTAGGAGGAGAAAGCAGGACAGCTTCGGCTATGGCATGTTCTCAAGAAACATATCTAGTCACAGTTAGAGATACAGACTTGGGGCTCAAGTGAAAGATTGCAGCCAGAGATTTGGGGGAACTTATAGACATTAAGTTTATCTTTGGCAACGGATAAGAAAAGAAAGGGTTTAGGACAGAGTCCTGAGAAGCACTAGTATTTAAGAGATGTGTAAAGGAAGAAGAGCATGCCAATGAGCCTGAGACAGAATTACCAGAGGTAGGAAGAAAACTAAGACAGTCACTACCGAACAAGCAGTGATAACTAGGGAGGCAGGAAGAGCAAAGTTCAAGGTGAGAGAATATTAGGACTGGATCACAGATGCAGCTACATTAATACCAGTTTTAGTTTCAACTCTAAATTTAGGAGTTTAGCTGAAAGGCAACAGTCCAACTCCCTTCCAAGGATAAGCAGGTACACATTCAACCACCACTAAATGTATGTCAACCTCCCCAGATACACTTTCTAATATTTTATTTCGTAAGCTGAATGGTGGGTACCTGAGCATGTATTAAGCTTTTCTGAATACCTTGCTATGTGTCTGATATAGTTGATAAATTTACAATGGATGCCCAAAACATATTGTTGAGTAAAAGAAAGTTGGGTTATTGAAGAGCATGTATACATTTCCATTTATATAAAATTATAGATTTATATCCATATAGGTATCCATGCACAGGAAGGTGTCTAGAATGATGGTCACTAATTCTTTCAACCATGCTTATCTCCCATTAGTTGGATTTAAGGTAATTTTTACTTTCTTCTTTGTGCTCTTCTATGTTGCTTGATTTTTTTTATAATTGCACATGTAACAGTTTTATACAAATAACTAAACCATAAAAGCATCCTATAGAGTTTTCTGCCCTACATCGTTACATAATTACCCTTTGAGAATAGGCTGCAGTTATGCCTGTGTTATGAGGTGAGGTCAGGGGAGCAGAACTCCACCACCCTTATGTTCTTACTGAATAAATCAGACTAAGAGCCACCATAAAAGACACCTCTATCGCCGCATCCTCACTCTTAAAGGTAGAGAGAGGAGAAGCAAAGGAGAGAAAAACCAAGGAAAGCATCCTCTTCATGGCCTACACACCCATTAACCCATTCTCCATTTCCTCCCAGTACAGCAGCACTCCAGGGGTAAGTGGGCTGGTCCTCCCTTGTCTCGGTGCCTATGGTGTCTTTCAGAGCGATCAAGTATGTGGTGACCAGAGAGGGTTCAACTCCAAACAAATCTCTCGCTTGGATAATTTACACCTACAGGCCTTATTTTCTTATATTGTAAAATAAAAACAATTTTTAAAACCTGCTTCCTAAAGTTGTTGCTTTGAGTATTAAATGAGGTAAAAAATGCAATACACATAAAGTAATACCTATCACATAGCAAATGCTCAATAAGTGGGAGCAGTTTTATATTTCTCAGAACAAGAACAATGCCACAGCCAGTTTTGGATCGGAAACACTCACACAGTCATGAATAACTGCCATGCAGTGGCTAGCCTTCAACACTGATAGCTTGAACTGTTTTTCCTACTGGTTCTGAATGTCCAGCCCCAGCTTTGGAAGCTAAACTCTGACCTCCACCGAAGGTGTGCGCTCTGTGCCATACTCACCTATTCAGCATATTGGACTGGTAGATCCTCTTCTCATGGGTGTTGTAACAACTGCTCTTGGGCTCCGGGATGAAGCTGTGCTCAGACAGCATGTCAGAAGCAGCGGTGGTGATTATGGCAATTCCATCCCTCACTCTGGCAGGGAGGCCATAGTCCCATTCATCATAGGACACAGAGATGAGCCCGGTGGGGAACTCCGAGGGCACTGTGTCTGTATCCCCTGCCACCAGACTAGGCACAATCCACGTGTAGCCACAGCCAGTCAGCCCTACTGAGTTAGCCACTTCAAAGATGTAGGTGGCCTCTTCCTTAGTACAATAAAGAAGAATGATGGGGCTTTGAAGTTTCTTGAGCTGGTTCTGAATCTTCGAATCTCCATCATCCAGGGACATGTCCAGCAAGAGGACTTCCTCTAGCTCCCAGCCCACGAAGCTGTTCTCAATGGTGCTGCGAATCTTGTTCACAAAGTCCTGGTAGCCAGGGAAGTAGGTGGTGACGATAGAAAAGATGTACCAGTCATACTCCTCCATGATGTTGAGCATCACGGAAGCTTGCTGTTCAATAGATGGGCCAAACTGGAAGAACATGGAGGATTCATCCTAGAATAGTAAAAATGTAAAAAAAAAAAAGAGAGAGAGAGAGAGAGAAATCAAACCAAAGATGGTAAGGGAAAATTTGAATCAACTGGACAGAAATGTTTGTGTCCATTGTTTTACTTTTTAAAATTAAATATGTTTAAATTGTAAACATTTTTAATACCTTTCTTCCTAAAACTATGTCCTAAACTCCAGAGAAATTCAACATTGGTCTATACTCTCCTTGTCTGAAATATTTTAGGGCTACTGCCAGAGCCCAAGGCAGCTTCCTAAAATCAAATATGAAGTGGGGTAAAGACTATAAATGGGGGGCAGGGGTGGGCTATAAGGGGTCAATTGGAGAAAAAGGGGGACATATGTAATACTTTCAATAATAAAGATATTTTTAAGTCTATAAATGGCCTCATTTCAGCTCAGGTCATGCACACACACTTCCCACTTTTCAAGCCTCTTGGGTTCTCAGTTGCGGATGTGTATCACTCAGAGTGAATGATCCAAAAGACCATCTATCTACACATAAGCCTGCCTATGAAGGTGGGATAGGCACCCTCAGTGTGGGTATTAGGGAGAAGCACGTATAGTACAAGATTTGCTCAGTATATTTTCTATAAAGATATATCTGCTAAATAAATTGCACAGTTAGTTTTATCTCTATCTTCTACTCTGATCATGAGATATGCAAGTTAGAGGAAGGCTCAAACAGTATATCTAAGACAAAAGTTAGAATGACTTGTATTCAAGCTCCTATGTGATTAAGCTTTATTTAGAGCAACATACAGAAGATTATTCTTTCTCTTACATATATAATGCTGCAGGTCTTGGTCTGACCTATGCGTCACACACATAGTCCTCTGTCAGTTCTGAGCATCTTCTTTCTTGCCTTTTGAGGAAGAAGCCATTTTAAATGTCTCCCATCTAAAGCTGTATTTCTCTTGTACTGAGATGTCAAGCCCTGCATTTTATCCACCTTTCAGCTGGAAGAATCTGAACCCACAAAATGAAGACCCCTGTCCTCCTCTGTCAGTCCATTCTCCTCTGACCTCCTCCTGAGTGGTGGCATCCCTTTTCTTGGTCAGTGGCCCTAACATCCCTTCTATCTGATGGTTCATTTCCATTTTATAACAATCCAGGCTAACAAAACAGTCTTTGTCAAAGTGGCAGTTTTTTAACCTCCCAGACTAGAGCTTCCAAGTGCAATTACAAGAGACCAGGCTTTTAATATATATATGTAAAATTTCTTAGTTTGGGAACATATTGTTGTACAGCTGAGAGATTGCTGAGAATTTTGGCAGCACCCACTACTGAAAGAAAAATGCAGGTGAGAAATATCCACCTGGTGTCCAAAGACCCTGGTTTGGCAATGAAATCTGCCAGCTCCTCTGCTCTGCTAGCACTCCTGATGCTTTGTGTGGCATGAACTTTTCACATTTCACACAGGCTATCCAGAATGAAACAGTAGATGCTTAGTCATTGGGCGCGATTCTTTCTGCTAAGGGTAAAATGATGCTTATCATGGCTTTCTCCCCTGGCTTACCCATGTGGTCAAAGAGGAAACCCATTGGACCCTATAATTCAGAAATGTAGAGAGTGTGGGCACCAAGATTGGGTGGATAGGGGAGTGGAAATAATTTGGAATAAAGTAATAATTTCATGTGTGTATATTCCAAACTGTGGCCAGCCCCTGCTCCTGGTTTTCTCCCACAGCAATACAAGAATTGCTCTTCTGGTGAAGCTGACCTTATCCTTAGTTATAGAATATACTAGGGGCCCAGTGCACAAAAATTTGTGCACTCGGGGGTAGGGGATCCCTCAGCCCAGCCTGTGCCCTTTCACAGTCTGGGACCCCTCGGGGGTGACCACTTGCTGGCTTAGGCCTGCTCCCCGGGGGATTGGGCCAGGATGGCAATCAGACATCCCTCTGGCAGCCCAGGAGCCCTCAAGGGATGTCCACTTGCCAGCGGGGAGCAGGCCTAAGCTGCAGTAGGACATCCTTAGTGCTGCTGAGGAGACGGGAGAGGCTCCCACCACCACCGCTGTACTGGCAGCCATCAGCCTGGCTTGTGGCTGAGCAGAGCTCCTCCATGTGAAAGCTCACTGACCACCAGAGGGCAGCTCCTGCATTGAGCGTCTGCCCCCTGGTGGTCAGTGTGTGTCATAGTGACCAGTCATTCCCAGTCTTTCTGCTGTTAGGGTCAGTTTGCATATTACCCTTTTACTATATAGGATAGAGGCCTGGTGCACGAGTGGGGACCAACTGGTTTGCCCTGAAGGGTGATCCGGATCAGGGTGGGGGTCCCGCTTGGGTGCCTGGCCAGCCTGGATGAGGAGCTGAGGGCTGTTTTCAGGCGGGCCAAGCCTGCAACTGAAGCTCCCAGTCTCTCCTTTTTTTCTTTT